GGAGGACACCTCGGCTGGGAAGGTCCTCCCTGAGGACTGAGGGGTCCCGGTCCCACACCAGACGCCCTGCTCAGGGTTCCAGTGCCAGGAAGAGAAGTCCCCATAACTTCTGGCTGGAAAAACCAGCGGAAACTGAGGCTCAGAGAGGCTGATGCGGCTGGAGCCCCAGGCAGTGCCTCTTAAAGGGCCCGCGCATGGACTTATCGGACTCTCTCCCTCTAAGCTTGGAGGGGAGGCAGCTTCAGGGGCACCAGAGACATACGGGGAAGAACTGAGCTGTTTGGCATTGAAGCAAGGGCTGGAGAAGGGGCTTTTTCTGGAACAAACATGCTGTCAGAGGCCTTTGTTCCTTTGGTGAGCCCTTCCCTGGGGCAGCAGACAGCCGCCTTATCTGGGACTCCAGCAACCTGGCTCATACTGGTTGCCCCACCCTGGTGATTCCGTGAGGTCCTGCCCTAGCCAACTTTCAGGCCCACCCAAGCTGTTGCCAGTTGCTTAACCATAGGATTGGCTGGTCTTGGATCCTGCTTCAGGTTTTCCTAAATTCTTTCTTTCTTTTTTTTCCGGTGGTACATGCCCCTAGCGGGAACCGAACCTGGGACTCTGGTCTGCAGTCCGACGCTCAACTGCTGAGCCAAACTGGCCAGGTCTTCCTAAATTCTTCCAAACAAGCAGCATCTGGTCTCAGCGAGCCCCATACCACTCGTTAAGTAATACATAGAAACAAACACAGGGAGGCAGCCAAAATGAGGAGACAAAGAAACAGATCCCAAATGAAAGAACAGAACAAAACCCCAGGAAAAGAACTAAGCAAAATGGAGATAAGCAACCTAACAGATGCTGAGTTGAAAACACTACTTATAAGGATGCTCAATGAACTTAGTGAGAACCTCCACGAACTTAGTGAGGGCCTCAAGAGCATAAAAAAGGACCAGTCAGAAATGGAGGAGGCACAGTCAGAAATGAAGGAGGCACTAACTGAAATAAAAAATAATTAACACAGATTCAATAGTAGAGTACGTAAAGCCAAGAAGCAAACCATCGATTTGGAATATAAGGAAGCAAAACACACCCGATCAGAACAGCAAAAAGAAAAAAGAATCCAAAAAAATGAGGACAGTGTAAGGAGCCTCTGGGACAACTTCAAGTATGCCAACATTCGCATCTTGGGGGTGCCAGAAGGAGAAGAGAGAGAACAAGAAATCGAAAACCTATTTGAAACAATAATGGCAGAAAACTTCCCTAACTTGGTGAAGGAAACAGACATACAAGTCCAGGAAGCACAGAGAGTCCCAAACAAGATGAACCCCAAGAGGCCCACACCAAGACACATCATCATCCAAATGCAAAAGGTTCAAGATAAAGATAGAATCTTAAAAGCAGCGAGAGAAAAGCAGTTAGTTACCAGAAGGGGGTTCCCATAAGGCTGTCAGCTGATTTCTCAAAAGAAACTTTGCAGGCCAGAAGAGAGTGGCAAGAAATATTCAGAGTGATGGAAAGCAAGAACCTACAACCAAGATTACTCTATCCTGCAAAGCTGTCATTTAGAATTGATGGCCATATAAAGACTTTCCCAGACCAGAAAAAGTTAAAGGAGTTCATCACCACCTGTTATTATATGAAATGCTGAAGGGTCTTTTTGAAGAAAAAGATAAAACATGAACAAACAAAATGGCAATGAATACATATCTATCCAACAATGGAATCTACAAACAAAATGAACAGGCAGAACAGAAATGCTCTCATAGATACAGAGAACATTTTGTTGGTTACAAGATGGGAGGGGTTTGGGGAACGGGTGAAAACGGTGAAGGGATTAAGAAGTACAAATTGGTTGCTAGACTGACAAACGTCAAAGGGACGGGGGTTGAGGGTGGGAAGAAATAAACCAAAACACTTATATGTAATCCATGGACACAGACAACCGTGTGAGAAAAGGCAGGAGGGGGGCAGGAGTGGGGAGGGGGGAGTGAATGGAAGGAAAATGTGGAACATCTATACGTTCAACAATAAAGATAAAAAAAAAAATTGGTACAATAGCTTCAGAAAACAATTGAGCAACATTTAATGAAGTTGAAGATGCTTCTCTCCTACAACCCAGCAATTCCATTTCCAAGTGTGTATAATAAACTTTACATATGTGTACAATGACATGTACAAGAATTGCTCAAACTTTTTGTACTATTGTACTGTTTGCAATAGTAAATAATTACAAACAAACTACATATCACTCAGTGGGAACTGGATAAATAAATGGTAGTATTTTCGTAAGTGGAATTGTTAAATAGTGAATCACTACTAGGTTTACACATATGAACATGTATGAATCTCATAAATGTACATTTATTTATTTATTTATTTATTTATTTATTTATTTATTATCCTCACCTGAGGACATATTTTGCATTTATCCTCAGATAGAGCGGGAGGGAGAGAGGGAGGAAGAGAGAGAGAGGGAAACATCAATGTGAGAGAGACACATCGAGTGGTTGCCACCCAAACAACCCTAACTGGAGCCAAGGACAAACTGCCACCGAGGTACATGCCCTTAGCAGGAACCAAACCCAGGACTCTCTGGTCTGCGGGCCGACGCTCTAACCACTGAGAAAACCGGCCAGGGCTTATAAACATACTTTTAAATAAAAAAATAACTTTTTAAAGAATACTTTAGTGTATATGCTATTCATGTAATGCATAAAATACAAAACAATGCTGCATATTTTTTGGGATACACATGGTAAAAGTATAAAATACATAAGCATGACATTCTCCAGATTTACAGTAGGATTACCTTTATGGGAAGGAAAGGGGATTTGAACAATGGAAGGTCCACAAGAGACTGCCTGTAATGGTAACACTTTATTTCTTTTTTCTTTTTTTGTTAATCCTCACCCGAGGACATATTTCCATTGATTTTTAGATAGAGTGAAAGGGAGGAAGAGAGAGAGAGAGAAACACTGATGTGAAAGAGACCCGTCAAGTGTTTGCCTCCCGCAGGACCCCAGCTGGAGCTGGGAATCTAACCCACAACCCTTCTGTAACCTGAGACCCTTCGGTGTGCAGGCCAGTGCTCTAACTGCTGAACCAAACTGGCCAGGGTGACACTTTATTTCTCAAGTATATGTTTGTTCATTATATTGTTCTTTATACCTTTTTGTGTATCTTAAATGTTACATAGTATTTTTAAAAAGTAAATGATTGTAATGTGGAGACCATAAATATAAGTATACAGGACAAGTAAAAACACCAGCTTAATATTAATATTATCCAAATGAATAATTGTGGCTAGAGTTACAATTTCCAGTGACAGCATCTGACATATATGTAAAAAGTGGTATATCTCAGAAATGTTTCTGTTTCCTTCCAGATACTCTCTCTAGCCCCCTTTTAACTCAATCCAAGCTCATCTCAGTTAAAGGCATCACCCAGTGTCTCTGTCTGAAACACCAGTCTTCTTTGCCTACTGTCTTCCCTATGCATCCTGAGTCCATCAGCAAGTCCCATCATCGCCACCTACAAAATGCATACAGAATCTGTCCTCTTCTCCTCAACACTCCACACTATCTCTCAATCAAGTCCAACTGAACCTCATCTCCTGCCTGTATGACTGCTAGAAATAATTCTACGATGCATCACCTTTTCCCTAAACTGCTTCCAAGTCACCTTGTTTGCCAGCTCCCCCCAGTCTCTTTTCCACTGAGTTCTCTTAAAAATGTAAATCAGATCATGGCACTCCCTTGATCAAAATCCTTCAAGGCTGAGATTAAAATTTAGAGCCCTCACCAGCCTACAAGGCCCTCCCACCACGGCCTGCACCTTCTGCCCTGCTCTCTCTCTCTCCCAGCCATGCTGACTTTGTCGTTCCTTCAACCACCCCTTCCTCACCGCAGGGTTGTTGAGCTTGCCGTCGGGAAGCATTGTTCCCGTTTTGATTATGGCTCCATTCCTGGCTTCAGTGGAGCCTCCACTCACCACCTTCTCTAAAATAGTTGCCACCCCCCCCCCCCACCTTAGACTATTTCATTTTCTTCCAATCTGCTGTAATGTTATATATGAATTTGTTTAAACATTTATTTCTGTCTTCCCTACTAGACTGTAAGCTTCCTGGGGGCTGGACATTTTCTGTCTTATTCTTTGCTGCATTTCCCAGTGCCTAAATGGCGCTTACTCGGCACGAAGATGCTCAAGCAAAGCTTCTTCAGTGAATGACTGCACTGATGATATGGAAAAACTTTGATGACTCAAAAAGTGCCTTTTGGGCCTTGGCCGGATGGCTCCGTGGGTTAGAACATCACCTCATACACTTAAAGTTTGCAGGTTCGATCCCAGGTCAGGATGTGTGTGAGAAGCAGCTGATCGATGTTTCTCTCTCACATTGTTTTCTCTCTCTCTCTCTCTTTCTTCCTCTCTCTCTACAATCAATGATAAAAAGAGTGCCTTTAGTAAAAATAAAGCCACTGGAGTTGTAGATGCATAAGAATTTGAATAAGATTATTTCATAAAGTATAAATGTGGAAAAAAGAGGGAATATTCTTTAGAAACAGATTAGTTAACTGATGTTTAAATATGTGTGATTAAATAGAGTAAATATAAGCAGGTGAGTATTTCAGCTGTATATAAAAGTTTGGATATTCAGGTTGGCCAGAAGAATCTTGGGATCTTGTCTCTGGGAAACCTGACATTCAGGTTGCTTGTCATGCTGAGTTGCCTTACATTGGGGCCTATCTAGTCATATAGCTTGTCTGTCAGTCAGTCATTCCCAAGGACCCTGGGTCAAACCTAGCCACAGGCTTCAGGCTACAGTTTAGGGAAGACACAGAAGGAGAAGGGAATCAGGTACATTGTATGTGCACTGTGTGCCAGAGACTTTGCCTGGATTCCTCTCTTATGTGGATGACAGGAGCCCCCACCCCCAGTCAGCACGCACCTGATTGGGTGGCCAAAGCAGGGAGAGGGCCAGGACTATAGGTCTGACCCTCCAAATCTTGCCACTCCTGCAGATCATGGAGATCATCTTTGTGTCCATCTATAGCGCCGAGTTCTATATAAAGCTCTATGTGGACCCCATCAACTACTGGAAGGATGGCTACAACCTGCTAGATGTGTTGGTTATCATCATTGTCTCGATCCCTTATACTCTCCGCAAGGTCAAGGGCAAGCACTTCCCCTACCTCAACATTGCTGATGGCTTGCAGTCCCTGCGCATCCTCAAGCTTATTACATATAGCCGTGGCATCCGGGTGAGTAATCTGGGGAGTGCTGGTGACAGGATCCATCTGCCCACCAGCCCCTAATAAAATAATTGCTGTACTTCTGTCATCCACCTATTGAGTCCTACTGTATGGCAGGTTGATCTTTACTGATATTACCTCATTTAATCTGAACACAATAGTAGGAAAGGGTCTTGGGTGTGATTCCCAGTCAAGGGCCAGAGTCGATCCCTGGCCCAGGTCAGAGTCGGGCAGGAGGCAACCAATGGATGTGTCTCTCACATTGATGTTTCTCTCTCTCTCCCTCCTTTCCTCCCTTCCACTCTCTAAAAGATCAATGGGTGAGCATTAAAAAAGAAATAGTAGGAAAGGTATTATTAGATCTATCTTAGAGATGAAGAAATTGAGACCCCAGGTCACTCGACAGGTAGATGCCAAAGCTGAGATTGAAAGGTATGTCTGACTCTAGAGGCCATCTGGACTGTCCCTGTCTCCCACACTGCCAAGTGTACCATCTTCTAATAGCACAGACTCTTCTAACCACATGCCCGCGGGGGATCCAGCTTTCTGGTAGCCCGTGCCACTCACTGCTTTCCCCAAACAAAATTCTGCCACTTCTTTCGATGGGAATAGTCTCTGTCCTTGGTTCAGGCAGCTCTGGAAGTGCTGCTCCTGCTGAGAAGTCAGGGGCTGACCAGCCTTTCCTGGGCTCAGCAGGTTTCAGAACAACCCTCAGAGCTGACCCAACCATACACTTCGCATTCAGCCTGGACACAGGATGTTTGCCCTGGCTCTGCACCCAGTGTCCATGCTTCTCCAGGAAGGGGCTGGTTTGGACCTATTTGACTAGTTAGGGTGTGTCAGATTGTTTGGCTGAGAGATTGCTTCTAGCCCAGCCTGCATGTCTGTCTAGGGCCTAGGCCTGACACTCAGAGAGCCCTGGTCCAAGATGGAGAAGATATGGAGAATGTTAAAGGGCTCCCCTTGTCGCAGAGCCCCATTCATTCATTCCTTGCCCTCATGTAGTTATACATGTGTATGTGTCCCCTCTCAAACAGCATAGTCCAGCCCTTCTCCTTGTGGCAAAGCTTTGGGAAAGAGGTGTCAGTCCTCCCGGTCCCCACTTCCTTATCTGTCATTTATGCCCTGGTTTCTTCCCTCCACTCCAAAGTAACTAGTCTCTCTTCACAAGTCTACTGGCCATTTCCCTTGGCATCTCCGTTACTGCTTTCTCTTGGTTTTCCTCCTGCCTCTTGAGCATGACTTCTCGGGTATACGTTTCCTTTGCCGGGGTCATAAGTGTTGTTTTCTCAGGACTATGTCCCGAGTTCTCTTCTCTGCATACTCTTTTTGGGTGATCTTTTCCACTTTTCAGGAGTCTTCACCTGCCCACACCTCTCTCTCTGACTTTCAGACCCAACTGCCTCCTGGACATCTTGCATGCTCCTCACACTCCACATGTCTAAATTAGAACTCCTCACTCTTCCCCCGCCGCCACTCTCAAATCTCCAAACCCTGATGCCTCCTCCTATAGTTTGTCTTTGCTGAAAGGCACCCCCAACCCTATTCAGCTTCCAAGGCATAGATTTGGGTGTTAGCTTTGACTCCTCTCTCCCAAAGTCCTGTTGTATGGTCTCCTGGATAGTTATTGACTGTTTTCATTCCCATAGTCATCTTTCTCCATCCACCCACCTTTACCTGATTCCTGCAATGACTTTCCACACTACTGAGAACTTTGGAACGGAAATGCCCCAGCAGCTGAGGGAATCCAGAGTGCATCAAATCATGGTGCCCTTCCTTTGGAAGCCTGAGCCCGAACCCCCTTGTTTGTAGGCTAGAGACAGACCCAGTAATGTGACCTAGACGTGAGGAGCGGGTGTCTGGGGTGCTGGGCATTGGAGCTGATGTCTTGTAGGTTCAAGAGTAAGGCAGTGGGAGGTTGGGAGAGGAACCTGGGAGGTAAGTGCCAGGTGGTGTGCACCTCAAAGGAAGGAAGTGATCGGACAGTGGGAAGTGTAGCCTGGCTTTTCTAGATGTTGGGTACCAAGGGAGCAGGGGTCTAAAGTGGTACAGGGTGGCTGGAGATGAGGAAGTCAAGGGATGTAGAGGCCTGGGGGATGGTGGGTTTCTGTAGAGATGCTGAAGGCTCCCAGGATGACAGCAGGGTGGGGCAGAGCCTGAGGGGGAGATTCTGAGCCACAGGTGGAGTGGGAGACTGGAAAGTTGGCTCTTTCCAGAAGCAGGGGCTTTGTCCACAGAGGCAGGGCTCTGAGGATAAGGCAGAAGGTGGCGTCCTGAATCAGGTCCGTGGGCGATAGGCATCCTCCCTCAAGAGGGCTGCTGAGGAGTGATGCCATTAGGCAGGAAAGGATTCTCAGGTGAGGCCAGGAGAGGCTTCACCATGGAATGAAGGTGCCAGAGACCTGCAAGGTCATATGAGGAAGAAGGTGATAGCAGTGGGCTGAGGGAAAGGAAGCCCAAGGACTGCGCAGGAAGGAGGGAAGCAGAAGGCACTGGGGCAGGAGGGACTTCCATCTAGGGGGGGAGTAGGGCGAGGGCAGGGACCCATATTGGCACCTTGAGAGGCTGAGGGCACTAGCTGCCTGCTGAGTGCATTGTCGTGGCCATGTCGTGGCCATGAGGTGAAGCCTGAAGGTGTCTGGGGCTTAGGTCCTGGCAGGGACAGCCTATCCTTCGAGCCCAGGGATCCAGTGAAGGGACCATAGCCCATCCCACTGGCCAAGGTTTGTCCCAGAGCTCAGCCTGGCTTGCTTGGTGACCTTGGGCTTCTGCTCAGCCTTGGTCCTGTAGACACGCACAGAGACCTGTGGGCATGCGGGCACAGCATGCACACTGACGTACAGCCTGTGTTTGGCCTTGGGTTTTCTGTTATTAAGCAGAGCCTGTAGCCAAAAGTTGTTCCCTGGGGACCGCTAGCCACCCCCCCCCCCCCCCCCGTGGCTTTTCTGTAACCTTTGAGATATCACTAGCCTGAAGATCCTCAGGGGCACAGAGGTGACTCTAGATTGTATCTCCGTGGTACACTGGCCTGGCTAGCTGGCCAGGGGCAGCTGGAGGTGTCAAAGGTGGGGACCTGTACCTCTGTGCTGTTTATATCCATTGAAGTCTAAATGAGGCGTTCACAGAGCCACAGCCTCAGTGCCCAGAGCGGCACTTTGGCACATTCTCAGCTCTGTCCCCTTATTGATTAAGATGATACTCTGCCTTCCACCTCATAAGGAAATGGCTTCTTGTTTTTCATAGAGAGACGTTCTGTTAGCTGGGCACCCGAGGGCCACACTGCCCCTGGTTATCTGTGTTTCAGTCTGAAGAACAACCTTCAGCGGCTGGGCTGTGGTGGGGCACCGGCCTCACCTTCCTCCCTATCTCCTCCTTGGGGCTCATCAGAGCGGCCTGGTCTGGGCACGTGCCCTGTCTGGAGGTCCTCATCATTCCCAGAATGCCAGGAGGGCAGCTGTGCCTTGAGCCAGAGCCCAGGAAGGGGCTCGGCATTGTATCCCTAAAGAGTTTGGGAATTCAAAGTCAGGAACTTACTGGGGTCAGGCTGTAGGCCTCGAAGCCCAGGGCTTCCTCAGGGAAGGAACTGTAGGCCTTTGGGGGTCTGGAAAGGCATCCTTGGGACTGGGTTGCTGACCTTCTGAACTGTGGACTGACAGGATCTGGTTGTGCTCGAGGAACACGGCCAGGGCCTGCTGCCGGGGTCAGTCCCCCAGGGCTGCCCGGGAGCCTGACCCCTTCTCCACAGCCTTTCTTTCTTTCTTTCTTTCTTCCTTCCTTCCTTCCTTCCTTCCTTCCTTCCTTCCTTCCTTCCTTCCTTCCTTCCTTCCTTCCTTCCTTCCTTCCTTCCTTCCTTTCTTTCTTTCTTTCTTTCTTTCTTTCTTTCTTTCTTTCTTTCTTTCTTTCTTTCTTTTCCTCACCTGAGGACATTTTTGCATTTATCTTTAGATAGAGTGGGAGAGAGAGGGGGGAAAAGAGAGAGAAACATTGATGTGAGAGACACATCAAGTGGTTGCCACCCACACGACCCCCACTGGGGCTGGGGACAAACTGCAACTGAGGTGCGTGCCCTTAGCGGGAACCCAATCCGGGCCTCTCTGGTCCATGGGCCGATGCTCTAACCGCTGAGCCAAACTGGCCAGGGCTCCACAGCCGTTCTTAAGGCTGCTCAGCTTTGACCTCAGGTGGTGCTGGGCCTGCAGCCGGCCTGGAGATAGGAGACCCAGCCGGGGCCTCTCCCTACCTTTCTACAGAGCCTCGGCAGACTCACCTTCTCAAGATTCATAGTTCTTGGGAAAGAAGGTCTGTTTCTGTCTCGTAGGGAGGGGAGCAATTTTGGAATTAATCTCAAAACACTGATTTTCTTCCCACAAGGGAGGAGGGAGGCATGTGGCATGCGTTCATTCCTGCAGGCAGCTGCCGAGCCAGCACCCATGCAGGGCAGCCCTGGTGTTCTTAGGTTCTCTCTCGGCTTCCCAAATAACCCCAAACTGTCCAAACTCACTGTCCTGTGCCCCAGCTCTATCAAGCACCCCCTTTCCTAGTGTGGAACCCATAAATGGTTTCCTGGCTTAGAAAAAGGGGCTTTCGTGGTTGAAGGTGGTGGCGCGAGGCAAAGGGCTTGAGAGTTAGTCCCAGTTTTGCCACTGTGTTGGCGTGTGGCCCTGGCCAAGCCATTTTCTTCTCTGAGCCTCCGATCCCTCATCTTGAAATGGGAAGAATGATAACACCTACCTACCTTGAAATGATGTCTGTGACAGCGTCTAGGCAGGTGAACATATCCTGAGCACCTGCTACAGTGCAAGATTCTGGGTCAGGAAGGATGAGTGACGAGGAGCCATGCACTGTGCGCCTCAGCGGGGGGCAGTGCAGGGGGAGGTGGGCCGAGGCCACAGGACACAGGCTTGCCGTGAAATGGGGCCTGGAAAGAATGGGAAGCCTCGTCACTCTCAGCCCTCGTTATTCCCACTCCCCGAGTGGCTCTCCTGCTCGTCCTGGGCCTGGAAGAGCATTGAGGGCTGGCCCTCAGTGAGAAGCAGGAGCAGGACCCTTGGGACGACCATGAAGCCAGGCAGGGGTTCAAGTGGATGGGGAAACTACCCGAGACTGAGCCAGCACACACGATCTGCCCATAGATGACAGAGGGCGGAGGCCAGGCACTGCTCATTGTTAAGACTGGTCCAGCTTTCAATCTGGACAGAGTTCCCTCCCTCCTTCTCTCCTTCCCTCCTTCCTTCCCTCCTTCCATTTTTCTCTCCCTCCATTTTGCCATCCAGCCACTTGTGAAGCATCTACCACATGCAGGCTGGGCACTGGATGCTGGGGACAGCTGTGACCTGGGCAGACTGTACCTTTGTGCCCTGAGCCCCACCTGCCACAGCCTTGCCTAGCGCCAGTGCCTCTGCCTTGCAGACGCTCATCACCGCCATTGGGCAGACAGCCTACACTGTGGCCTCCGTGCTCATCCTGTTCTTCATCCTGATGTACATCTTCGCTGTCCTGGGCTTCTGCCTATTTGGAGGTCCAGATAGGGGTGACGTGGAAAACTGGGGGAACCTGGCCGTGGCCTTCTTTACGCTCTTCAGCTTGGCGACGGTACTGTGTTTGGGAACAGTGGTGGGGGAAGGGGCCTTGAGAAGAGACAGCCAGCTGGTGCGAGTGAGCGGACATGCTGGGCCTCCCATGGGGCCTTCCCCATGTGCTGAGGCTTCGCTGGGCTGGGGAGGCTGAGGCAGAAGACAGTGCCCTGGCCAGGTCCATCTGTGCCTCTAATCTTGTGACTCCCTAGAGCATTCCCATTTGTCTCACAGGGTTGTAAAAATTCCGAAGAGTTCTTAAAAGACGATTCATTTGGATAAGTTTAATTTAGAAGTGAAACCCATGTCACATAGCCCTTTTGGAACAGACTGTCACAAATCCACCCAAGTCTAGAAATCTAGACTGTTGGACTTGGGAAAGACTGGAGTCTGTCCAAAGGAGGGCCTGGCAGAGAGGCAGTGTCTTTTTGGGAAGAATGGGAAGCCTTTTGGAGCAGAGCCCCCAGGGTACCTTGGCCAGACATACCCCTACCCAATGGTGCCCTGTACCCAGGCTCCATGTATGCACTAGAGTCATGGTAGGGGGGCTGCTGAGGGGTTGATAGGGAGGAAGCAACAGCCTCCTTCTAGTAGGGTGAGGGCTCCCCTAAGGTAGGTGAGCAGGAGGCCTACTCTGCTGGGCCTTGGCACTCGGCATGCCCTCCCCTGCCCAAGCAGGTTGATGGCTGGACAGACCTGCAGGAGGAGCTGGACAAGCGGAATCTTGCTCTGAGCCGAACGTTCACCATCATCTTCATCTTGCTTGCCTCTTTCGTCTTCCTCAGCATGTTTGTGGGTGTGATGATCATCCACACTGAGGTGAGGCTGCGTGTGTAAGGACCAGGGGTCGGCTTAGATGTGGCAGTCAGGGCTGTGGGCCAAGTCTCCAGGGAGGACCCTGAGTGTACCCCTCCTAAGGTGGAGGGGAGGTGGCCAGGTGGGCAGGGGCTTGGGGAGTCCCTGCTGCTGCGTTGGCAGTTTGAGTCAGGGGCTGCTGCATGGAGGGGTCCTCCTCTTGAGCAGCAGGGCAAGGCCAGGGAAGAAGAAAGATGGGGTGGATGTGAACCCTCACCTTCCCTCATCCTGCCACTCTCCAGGACTCCATCAAAAAGTTTGAGCGGGAGCTGATGCTGGAGAGGCACATGGCACTCATGAAAGAGAAGCAGGTGATTGTGAGGCGGCAGCAGGAGGAGGTCAGCAGGCTGATGCAGACAGAGGTATGTGATCTCCACTGCCAGGTGGACAAACAGATACATAAACAGGTGGGCTGAAGCAATGGCCAGGAAGGGGGGCCTTGGGGCTTATGGAGAGAGCAGGTGGCCTCAGGCATCTGTGGCCTTGGGAAAGGCAGGTAACTATCTCCTGTATTTTCCAGAATCAAGCTTTATTTTCTGCACTTTTGTATTTCTCTGGACCTGTGAGAATGTGGAGTGCTGTGATTATCACAGTATCTCCCTCCTCTATGGGCAAAACGGCACTGCTGGGCAGCAATGGGGCCTGGAGTGCTCTTGCCACTGAGGGCTCACTGGGTGCCAGGCAGGCATGGCCCACGTTCTCTGAGCGGATGAGGCCACAGAGGCCCTGGAGGTGTTACTAACCTCAGTTTTTCTAAAGTGAACAAGAGTGAGCACAACAGGCTGGGTATTTTCTGTCAGGCATGATCCAGCTGTAAGGGCTGGGCATCTTCTCTCTTCAGTCCATGCTGAGCCCTGGGTGATCTGCCAGGTCCTGGACCACTGCCCCTTTCTCCCCCATGTGGTCAGTGCGTCTCTCCTCAGCCTCTTCTCTGAGGCAGAGACATATGCCTTTCTTTCCTTTCTCTTTCTTTTTAATCCTCACCCGAGGACATTTTTTTTTTTTTTTTGCATTTATCTTCAGATAGAGTGGGAGGGGGAGAGGGAGGAAGAGAGAGAGACACATTTGACTGGTTGCCACCCACATGACCCCAACCAGGGCTGGGGACAAACTGCAACTGAGGTACATGCCCTTAGCGGGAACCAAACCTGGGACTCTCTGGTCCGCAGGCTGACGCTCTAATTGCTGAGTCAAACCAGCCAGGGCTGCTTTTTATTTTTATTTAAACTTACCTTTATTGTTGAATGTATTACAGATGTCTTTGCAGGATAGAGTAATCTTGGTTGTAGGTCCTTGCTTTTCATCACTTGAAATATTTCTTGCTACTCCTTTCTGGCCTGCAAAGGTTCTTTTAAGAAATCAGTTGACAGCCTTATGGGAACTCCCTTGTAGGTAACTAACTGCTTTTCTCTTGATGCTTTTAAGATTCTCCCTTTGTCTTTAACCTTTAATATTTGGGTGATGTATCTTAGTGTGGACCCTCTTTGGGTCATCTTGTTTGAGGCTCTCTGTGCTTCCTGGACTTGTATGTTTGTTTCCTTCACCAAATTAGAAAGTTTTCTGTCATTATTTTATTTTATTTTATTTTATCCTCACCCGAGGACACTTTTCCATTTTTTGTTCAGGTAGAGTGGGAGGGAGAGAGAGGAGAAGAGAGAGAGAGAGAAACATCGACGTGGAAGGATACATCGAGTGGTTGCCACCCGTACAACCGACCAGGGCCGGGGACAAACTGCAACTGAGGTATGCGCCCTTAGCGGGAACCGAACCCGGGTCTCTCAGGACCGCAGGCCAACGCTCTAACCACTGAGCCAAACCAGCCAGGGCTCTGTCATTATTTTTTTAAAAATGGTTTTCAGTTCTTGCTTTCTCTGTTCTCCTTCCACGATGCGAATGTTGTTATGCTTGAAGTTGTCCCAGAGACTCCTTACACTATTCTCATTTTTTTGGATTCTTTGTTCTGATTGGGTGTTTTTGCTTCCTTATATTCCAAATTGATGGTTTGCTTCTTGGCTTCACCTACTCTACTATTGATTCCTTGTAAATTATTCATTATTTCAGTTAGTGCATCCTTCATTTCTGACTGGTCCTATTTTAATGCTCTTGAGTTCCTTACTAAGTTCCTTGACATTCTCACTAAGTTCCTTGAAATTCTTACTAAGTTCCTTGAGCATCCTTATAACTAGTGTTTTGAACTCTGCATCTGTTAGATTGCTTATCTCCGTTTAATTTAGTTCTTTTCCTGGAGTTTTGTTCTGTTGTTTCATTTGGGACATGTTTCTTTGTCTCATTTTGGCTGCTTCCCTGTGTTTGTTTCTAGGTATTAGGTAGAGTTGCTATGTCTCCTAGGCTTGGTAGGGTGGCCTATTGTAGTAGGTATCCTGTAGGGTCTAGTGGCACAGCCTCCATTGTCACTACAGCTGGGCCCTCGAGGTGAACCTCTCATGTGGACTGTCCACCCTTCTGTTGTAATTATGTCTTGATTGCTGTTGGCAAGTCAATGGGAGGGATTTACTCAGGCTCATCAGCTGCAAGGACTGGCTGTGCCCACTGACCATTGGCCTCTGACTATCTTGGAGGATCAGCTGTGTAGGGGCCCACCACACAGAGAAAGACTTACTTCAGCAGGGCTCTGGTACCCACTGAGTCCAATCATTGAGTGTGTCACTTGTGGAGGTGGTTGGGTGGTGGTGCTTCTGATGTGGCCTGAAGCTGTCCACTAGGTGTGCTGGCTCTGGGGTAAAGTTAGCTACTGCCTGTGCTCTGTCCTGGGCCAACAGGCATAAGCTACAAAGTGATCTACAGATGGCTGCTTCTTATGCTGGGCTTGGAGGTGCCCAGGCAAAGCCAAACTGTGAACCACAGCTGGCTGCTTCTAGTGCCAGGAATGGGGCCAGTTAACTAGAGGTATGGGGCTTGCTGAGGCCAGATGCTGCTTGTTTGAGAGATTTTAGGAAAATCTGAAGCAGGAGCCCAAACAGGCCAATTCTATAGTAAAGCTACTGGACACAGCTTGGGTGAGCCTGAAATTTGTGTGGGGCAGGGCCTAGGGGATCACCAGGGTAGGGCAACCAGTGTAAGCTAGGTTACTGGAGTCCCAGATATGGGCACATCAGCTGCCCTCTGGGGGAAGGGCTCACCAAAGGAGCAAAGGCCTCCACCAACACGTCTGTCCAGGAGAAGGCTGCCCCTCCAGCTCTCTCCCCAATGCCAAACAACTCAGTTCTTCCCCGTATGTCTCTGTTATCTTTCAAGCTGCCTCCCCAACACAAGCCTGAAGGGAGCAGGTCCAAGTAAGTCCATGCTCGGGCCCTTTAAGAGGAACTGCCTGGAACTCCAGAAGCCTCAACCTCCCTCAGCCTCAGTTCCCATTGGTTTTCCAGCCAGAGCTTATGGGGACTTCTCTTCCTGGCACTGGAACGCTGAGCTGGGGGCCTGGTGTGGGATGGGGACCCCTCACTCCTCAGGGAGGACCTTCCCAGCTAAGGTATTTTTCTGATTTTTATCCACCACCCATGGGTGTGGGACCAGCTTGTCCGCAAGTCCACCCCTCCTACCAGTCTCCATGTGGTGGCTGCTTTAATTTCGTAGTTGTAGGATTTCCATTCAGCTCGATGGCCTGAATAATGGTTATTTTGAAGTTTAGTTGTAATTTTGATGTGGTTGTGGGAGGAGGCAATACCACATTTACCTACGCTGCCATCTTGAAGTCTGATTTAAGAAAACTTTTTTTAATCCTCACCTGAAGATATTTTTCTATTTATCTTCAGATAGAGTGGGAGGGAGGGAGAGAGAGAGAAACGTAGAAGTGAGAAAGACACATAGACTGGTTGCCTCCCGCAGGACCCTGACCAGGGCCGTGATGAACCGAAACCGAGGTACATGCCCTTTACCAGAATTGAACCCAAGACTTATTTGTCTGCAGGCCGATGCTCTAACCGCTGAGCCAAACGGGCCAGTGCTGTCTGTCCTTCTTGACTGTGTTCAAGGTTTGTTCAGGGAAGGTGATGGTGGTCCGAGGCTCCCTTGGTCAGGGAGCCAGGTGTGGAAGGGGCTGGGGTGACCCTGTGATTCAGTTCAGGACTTCACCTGGGCCAGACACCCTTTGCTTGCCCCTTAGGGGGCCCCAGGTCTCTGTGCATGTCGAGGATCACGTCTGCCTCGTCGCTGATCTCTTTACGCTTCTCTTTCTAGAAAAACGTGGACCATAAAAGTTTCAGTGAGCTGGTAAAGAACTTCAAGAAGACCCTGCGACACACTGACCCAATGGTCTTGGATGATTTTGGCACTAGCCTACCCTTCATCGGTGTCTACTTGTCCACTCTGGACAACCAGGATACCACGATTTACAAGTCAGTCCCTGCCCCAGCAACCCTGGCCCCAGGAGACCAGGCCTTTCCTGGCCCCCCTGCTTTCTGGAGGGCAGGGCCATGCTGGTGCTCTGGTAGAGCAAGGGAGACAATGGCCGACGTGCAGGGTGGGTGGGGCGAGGCCCTTCTTGGGGGCACTGGAGTCCTCATATGCACAGTGGCTTGACTGAGGAGTGCACAGACCCAGGGCTTGGGGGATCCTGCTCCTCTGCCCCTCCCTAGCCTGCCCTGGCTTGTATTCAAATTCTGGCTCCTTAGACTCTCCAGGTCCCTCCTCACTAACCCTTCCCCAGGGGACAGAGGAAAGAGCATGGCTGGTGGGTCAAGAGCTGAGGCTCCTGGCTTGGTTCTGCCACTTCCTTCCTCTGTGACTCTGGGCAAATGTCTGCCCCTTCCCCAGCTGTCTCATGAGGGGCTGCTGGGTTGATTCTATGAAAACTTGGGCTTGGCCTGGCCCAGAGGTATGCTCAGTGTAAGTTAGCTGGGGTTTTAACTGACCATTACTGCAGGAAGGGGACCTGGGCATGGGCACTAAGGAGCCACAGTGGGCTCTTGAGCAGGGAGGGTCACAGTTAGCCTGGATTCTCAACAGAAGTCTCCTGGAGGGCTTCATGGACTGGAGGAACTCAAAGGAGGACATCAGGGAACACCCACTCTTGGCCCAGAGTTGACGAGGCAGTGTCTGGTCATCTTCACGTAGTTACCTCACTCAGAGCCCATGAGTTTGTTGCCTCCAACTTGACTCAGGCAGTGAAATAACTTCCTCCAGGGGCCACAGGTAGAATTGCAGACCTGGTTTCTAGTCCATCCTCATTGTGCTCTAAAGTTTTTGCTCTTTCCTGACCCCACACCTGCTAGGTGTAGGAAATGCCTAGGTGTGATGGGTGGGGCCTGGCTGGCATGGAGCCCACCTGTGCTCAAGCCCCCTCTCCTGCCCCTTCCAGGCTCCAAGAACTGTACTACGAGATTGTGCACGTGCTGAGCCTGATGCTCGAAGACTTGCCCCAGAAGAAGCAGTCCCACTCCTTAGAGAAGGTTGATGAGAAGTAGCTTGGTGGGGGCACCCAGGCGCCGAGGGCCTTGCCGACTGTGCCAGGCTCCCCATTAAACACAGGCTTTCTGAATTGGCCTTTTCACAGTTGCTGTGATCATGGCGTCTCCTTACCTTTGGGGGTTGGGTCTGGACAGGTGCCCATGAAGCCTGATTTGCCAACACCTCCCACCTCCTGACTGAGCCAGACCTCAGGAGTGGGGGAGGGAGGCTCAAGACTTGTATGGCCAGTGGCCATTTCCAGGGGCCACACTGAATCTCTCCTCCCTTAACCCCAGCAGCAAGGACCCCCTGTGTTCCTGGGAAGCTGCCTGAGGACCCCAGACCAAGAAGGGCCCCAGACCTTCCAGCCCCATCAGAGTGTATGGCTCCTTCTAGCTGGTGTGACCTACTTCTCTCTTGGAACCTCGGCTGGGCTCGTCTACGGCCATCCCCACCCCTGGCAGAGCTGTATCTCTTTCTGTGGGTCCATTGCTCTGGGGACCCCTCTTTGGAAGTTATCTCTACTGTTTCCTAGGCTCACAGTAGTCATGGTGCTCCAAGGGGTGCAGCCGTGACTGGCAGGACTCTGTTGTATGGGCAAGGAGCTCAGGGTAGGCTTGTGTGGCTGTTCCCCTCTGCTTCACTGCCGGAGAGTATTCTTGAGGCCTGTCACCTTAGCAGTGACATCTCAGACAGAGGGAAGGGTGGGTTCTGGGTAGAGCTGGGGTCGGGAGACCAGCACCTATAGCTTAGTGCAGAAAGACCCCAGACCCACAATGGGGAGTCAGGTCAGCAGAAAACATGTAGTAGAGTTCAGAGTGGCTGGACAAAAGGGTCTCATGAGTGGGCTCATGGGCTCCAGGCCTGGGTGACAGCACCCCCCAGGCCACAGGACTAAGGCAGGTGGAAACCTATATTCATGGTTTCATTTATACATTGACTACTATTTACTGAGCTGTGTTGGGTGCTGAGATTCTGGGAAGAGAAGCCCACAGTCTCATCCTATCCCTCTTGGTGCCCATGGTGGCTTAGGGGAGACAGTAGTCTAATTAGACTGGATGACAGAAGGTTTCCCTGAGGAAGTGACAATACTTGCTTGAATGCAGAGAGCATGCATCTTCGGAGATACTCCAATCAGTTCCATTTGCAGATGTCCACACTCAGGACCAAGCTGCGAGTTGTGTGAACAATGCCGAGGACGGCTCTGGAGAGCAGAGCACTCTGTGGCGAGCCTTCTGGAGGGCAGGGATGGTAACCTAGCTGCTCCCGGGATGCAGTGAACTCTGTGCCAATGCCTGGGAGGTGGGCCCGAAGCAAGCGGGGTGTCTGTGCCCTTTGTGGCCAGGGAGAAGCGTGGGGACTTATGCATTCAGAGCCTGACCATGGAGGCTGGGGGCTTCTTGGGGGGCCCCGGTGAGGGCGGCACAGTCAGCGGGGCAGGCGGGCCCGAGGCAGGGGCTCCATTCAGGGTGGGGGCAAAGCAGACATTGCCAAATGCTCACACTGGCTGTGCCAACGTCGTTCAGGGAATATGAAAACACAGCTACTTGCTCTCCCTGGGAACCCTGGGAATTGCCCTAGGCATGTGGGAGTGAGCGAAAGATTGAAAACTTGCTTCAGGGAGGCAAGCTAGAAAGTGCTGTGGTTTTGGAGTCATGAGACCTGGATTCCTTTATCCGGTGACCTTGGGCAAGGTGTCTAGTCTTTGGAAACCTCAGCTGTTTCCTCTGTGAAGTGGGTGGACGAAACTGACCAGCTGTAAGGATCAAAGGAAATACACATGAGAGAGTGAAGAAAGATGCAGTCAGGTTATGGTTTGTGCTTCCTGGCTGTCAGCTCCACCTCTGCTTGGCGGCCAGATGCAGATTGGGCTATGCCAGTCAGGGGCAGAGAGGCACTGGGCCAAGTCATGGGGGCAGGAGGAAAGTAAGGAGTGTGAGTAGGGAGCAGCGGTCAGGAAGCTGCAGGGGTGAGGGTGACTGAATCTCCAGATGGAGCTGGTATAGGATGAGCCAACGGCAAGACCTGGGTGGGACGGTCTGGGCCACTGGCCCCACAGGGAAGCCGTGAGCACGGGCTACTGGGCTACGGCAAGCTGCTTTTAAGGGCAAAGGCAGAAGGCTGTCACAGAGCAGAGAACTGTGTGAGGGCGATATGCAGAGGGCTGGCCCAACACTGCTGGCAGAGCAAGTCGGGGATATTTGGCACAAAGTCCCACAGCAGCATTTCTGTTTGGCTCTGTTTGCCTGTAGAGCAAACACTGGCAGATTGGAATTCCCGCTTGGGCTCTCACCAACTCAAACAGGCTTGGCCAAGGCTTTCAATTGATTTGCTTGGGGCAGAAGTGGCTCTGCTTGCCCAGGCCTGGTGGTGGAAAGCAGGACCCTCCTCCCCACTCCCAGCCCTGGGATCCAGCAGAGCTATCCCCCAAAGGCTCGCTCATTTCCATCCTGCCGGCCTGGTGGTTTGGGGGCTGCAGTGGATGCATGGAGAGCTGGAGTCTTCTGGTCATACCCAGGCCTTCCCCAGCTCTTGTGAAAAGGATCTGGGATCTAAGGTTGGAGGTGTTTGGAAGGTGACCAGATGTTTTATTAAACTGTTGATTCCACCAGCGGGAAGCAGTCCCCATATTACGGAGACCCAAGCAGAGTCTGAGAACATAAGCTCTCCTATTTATTCCAGCAGCTCCTAGAAGTCCGATATGGAGATGCTGGAAACTGTACACCTTCTGTCTTCTGTAAGTGTGGGTGAGACAGGACACCTTCTGAAACAGACTGTCCTTCACCAGGTCAGGCATTGCTCTCAGGGGTATCTCTACCTGTTTTGGACTCTGTCCCTAGCCCCAAATTGCCTGAGCCTGCTCTAGGGTCCTATAGGCTCAAGAGAGAAGATGGCCCTGAATTCCTAACTAGGCTACTCAGGAAGGAGAGGTGATGGTTGCTGATTCCAGCCACAGGGCTGGGAGCTGGGCGGGAGGTGTGAGATGTGCCAGAGGCTGATCAGCACACGAGGGCTCACTCTCCTCCACTCTTTCCACGGGGCTTTTTTCTGTGCTTGGTCAGCCATGTGCCTCACCTTTCCCCGGTTCTAGCTTTGGTCTTGGTGTGATGCAGCCCCTGGAGAATGGGGAAAGCCAGGACCAGAGAGCTGGAAGGAAAGTCAGCTCCTGGTTCTCCACAGTGGAGAGTCAGGGAAATGGGAGAAACAGGGAGAAATCTACCTAGATACCAGCAAGTCTGCACGGACATACGCAGTAAGGAGCTGGGACAGGGACGGGAGTGGCGGGGGGTAGAGGGCAAGGAAAGGCTGAGGACCCGGAGTCAGAGACTTTTGGACAGAGGCTCTGACACGGCTGGAGAGTGAGACCTGGAAAGGGGAGACACGGGGATGACGTGTCCATGGGAGGTAAAAACGAGATCCTCACTGGTGTTCTTTGAGAGAGGTATATGCTGACTGGAGCTGTTTAAAGGTGAGTTTTGGTTGTTGAACTATACCTTTAAAAAATGGAGCCCCGCCCTGGCTGGTGTGGCTCGGTTGGGTGTCCTCCAGTGCACCAAAGGGTTGCCGGTTTGATTCCCAGTCAGGGCACACACTGGAGTTTTGAGCTTGATCCCCGGTGGGTGGGGGCTGCAGGAGGCAGCCGATCAAAGTTTCACTCTCACATCAGTGTTTCTTTCTCTCTCTCTCTCTCTCACCCTCTCCCTCCCTCTTGCTCTCTATAAATCAATAAAAATATCTTTAAAAATAACAGAGCCCCATGAATAGATTTGATCATGTGGAATCTGAAATATATTCGGGTGACATAAACATCACCCTGTGTGCCTGGCCAGTGCGGCTCAGTGGTTGAGCATTGACTCATGCACCAAGAGGTCCGATTTGATTCCCAGTCAGGGCACATGCCCAGGTTGTGGGCCTGGTCCCCAGTGGGGGGCATGCAGGAGGCAGCCAATCGATGTTCTCTCTCATTGATGTTTCCATGTCTCTCTCCCTCTCCCTTCCTCTCTCTCTAAAATCAATACAAAAAAAAAAAAATCACTCCATGTAATAGAAACCTCTCGGGCTAAAATCAGGAAATGTTCAGAGGGCTTTGCAAACCACTGACAGAGCCCCCTAGGTGAAGACCTCTAGGTGAAGTACCCCAAGGGTGGAGGCACCAAATATGACTGGCTTTTTGCAAAATGAAACTGAAATCTCAAAGGGAAATGTGGAAGAGGCCAGAGGGAAAAGAAGAGTCTTGGGAAACTGGGGGTTGACCCCAACCTTTGTAAACTGAGCGACAATGACATTCTCATACAGACACACCCTCGCTACCCCACAGTTCATCCCAAGGGCACAGCTGCCTCTTGATGTCCTCCTTCCCAGTGGGGCCTTGACGCCTGGGGTGGGGGCCTGAGATGAAAAGACTTCTTCAAAACTTGCCACTGGACCAGAGAAGGAAGAGTCCGAGCAGAGTTCAGGCCTGGCCTCCAAAGGTATAGCCATTGTCTTTGTTGACCATGGATATCACACCTTCTGTTTAGTCAGTATTTCTGGGTACAAGACACTTTCACATACATGATTTGAATCTCAGAACAACACTTAGGTATTCTAGTTATTCCCATTAAACAGGTGGTAAAACTGAGTTTCAAAGAGGTGATGTAACCCATCTGAGACTGAACACATAGTGGGGAACCAGGATTCACAACCAAGCATGACTGGCTCCTTTACCACTTTGCTAATGCTATCCCTCTTTTATAGGGGTAAGCAGGCACTCAGAGAAACTGTCACCTGGCCAAGATGGTCATTAAAAGGCAGAGTCAGCATTTGAATGCAGGCCGCACATGTGCCTCTCTGCTCGGCTGCCTCATAGCAATCTTGTTCTTTCATATCAAAGCTATTTTTTGAACTTTAAAAATCAAGCCATAATTCCTTTTTGAGCTGGGCCTGACTGGGAGCAGGGAGGGTGGTCCTTCTCACTGCCTGGTTGACGCTGTGATGTCTGCAGGCCTGGTGGCTCCTGGCTGGGACCTGGAGCCTT